AGATGGGGCAACATTGACGTCTATAGTAAATAATATTTGTCAACAAATGAGTTATGGCGCTAAGTGGAAACAACTGGCTGGAAAAGGAGACAAAGGCGCATTGTTGCAGGGGGAAGTTGTGTCTGTGTGGTTTTCTTTGCTGCTGCTGGATTCATTAACTGCAGACAGTCTCCACTGAATCTGTGGTTTGGTAATAATGTAGACGATTATGTGCCAAGCATAATTATGGTTTTACTTGTCATTTATCCACACAAACATGCCTTTCTGGTTTTTTTTTTTTTGTTTTGTTTTGTTTTTTTTGGTGGTGAAAGGACTGTCTCTATTATTTCAAGGTATTTGAAAAGGTTCGATAAAATATCAGACATTTTTAGTTTAAATAAAAAATTGGGCACAATGATTGACAGGTATAGTATACGTACAGTGTATTTACTGTAATTTTGGCCACAGCGGCTTCGCATCCTGAGGCTCACACGTTTCAGTCTTTCCCACTGTTCAAGGTGACTTTTCCGACTGCAGCTCCTTTTCCTACCAGCATCACAAAACAAGTTGGAGAGCGTCGCTGCATAATCCTTCTTTTCTGAGAGTAAGCATCAAGTGAAAGTATTAAATATTGCATCTTTGCGTGTTTGTTACCTCAAGTAACATTTTGAGTTTTTTTCCTCCCAAGATAAGAAATGTATGCACGGCTAAAAACAGTCCCTGACAGTCATAATATTGTTGCAGTACACAGTGTTTGATGCATGTTTACATTACATTTTCAAGCTGTGCTGAAAAAAGCTCACATCTGTCACAGCAGAAAAGGGTTCTTAAAAATCTTTCTTAAACACATCTCAAACAGAAAATGATGGTGTCAGAAGTCATTGTTAGAGACATAGGAGACTGGATATAAAGCCTTGTTTCTTTGAATTAGCAGGGAACCACTATTCCCTCATTTCAAGCCAAGAACTAAAGACTTCTAACTTAAGAAGAGAATGAGAAATTTTCAGTAGCCCCGGTCTCTTCCCATCACAAGTCACAGTATATCCCGCCAAACATATGGTTTTAAAAAAGACAAATTACTACTTGTGACAGACAAAAGATGAGTAAAATAGAACATTGCAACAGGAGACACAGCACAGTGAAAACAAAACAAAAAAAAAAAACAACCAAAGAGACATTACAAATCAAAATAGTGAACATGATAACACCAGCATAAAAACACAATAGGTAGGTCTTCAGCTGGGACTTAAAACACCCCAGAGAGTTTGCTGACCTGACTCCCAGGGGGAGACCCACGACAGCAAACGAACAGTCCCCTCGTGTTTTCAGTCTTGAGCGAGGAACAAGCTGAGGCCCAGAGGAGCCTAGCAGAGGTATGAGGCATTATATATCGTTGATATACTGTGGAGCAAGATTATTCAAGGCCTTATAGATGAGGAGGGGGATCTTGAATTGAATCCTAAATTTAATCGGAAGCCAGTGTAGGGACATCAGAAGCGGGGTGATGAGAGAGCGATATGAGGTCGTAGTGAGTCATCTTTGCCGCAGAGTTTTTGGACTAACTGTAACCAGGGGTGATAGCGTCGTGGCTTAGGCAGGAATAATAAGGTGAATATTGAAATATCAGAAACTTCATTGTGGTCCTGACACATGTAGGAGGACATGGTATAGGAAAATAAAATGCATGCTCTCCAGCTGCCTCTCTGCCGATGCAGGACATTCAATCTGGCAAGCAAACTGGATTTACACACTCAGTGACGCCTGTTGTGTTTTGTCTTGTTTTTATTACAGTATTATAGAGGTGTTAAATTATGAGTTCATTGTCGTGCAATGCATTATATTCAAAGGAGTTTCTAATATTCTATATAATATATATAATATAGAATGCAGTCCAACACAACGCCACCTTTAAATATGACCTTGGTAATAAGCATGTAATTGAATTTACACATTTCCAGCAATGTCAATGTTGTATCAGATTGCATTAGATTGTATGGGCTAAGTGTAGTATTGCAAATTCATTCCAAGGGAAGTTAAATCTGCTTTACAAAAGAGCAAAGAACTTTCAGAGTCTACATACAGTATATGCAGATGCTGTATGCTAACAAATCAAATTAAACAGTCATGAAAACAATGCAAATTGACGCATGGGAGATGTTAACTTCCTTGTGTGTGATTTTTTTAAATCACTCGAGCATGTTTTAATGCACTGTCAGAGAACTCCAGCAGATGGAAGCATAAAATCTAAAAGCAGCTTCGTCAGCTTCTGTCCCAGATAACCTCAGAGTCCTGATGGCCTTGTGATGACATGCATGTCAGCGATGTACTGTGGAGCAAGGCCGTGCAGGGTTTTGCAGACATATGGTTACATTTTTATAATCTGCTCTAAAATCACCAGGAAGCCAATGCAGAGATCTTAGAGCTGGTGATCAGATGTCCTCTTCCTTGTTTAAACAGCCCATCATTTTTGAATAAGCCAGAGTCAACCCACTGTCATTTTAGGTAGAGCAAAGGAAATAGTTTATCAAGTGTTTTTTTTTTTTTTTGCATTTGCCCGTGACAAGACGCCTCTTCCATTGGATATATTCTCATAATAAAGCTGTTTTGGTAATGTTGCAAGGAAATGGAAGTTAGATGAGGATTTGTGTCCTGCTGCTGAGGCTTTGCACCATTAACACGAATTTGTGAAGCTGTTCAGTTGCAGGAACATGTTGGAAATCCATTTTTATGTCTCCAAGGGACGGGAAAGTGTACAAATAAGTATTGAGAGGAAAACTATCATAACAAACGTTGTGTCTCTGGACGGTGTGGCCCGCTGGCAGGTGACCAAGAATTGATCCCTGGAGAACTTCACATACGAAGTCAACCTTTATAGATATATAAAAGGGAAACTTTGTCACTTTACCTTTGCTGCAGGAAAATAACATTCAAAATACATCTATATATTTTCATCCAATTTTACCTCCACCAAATAACGCTGTGGCCCTACTGCTGCTATTTGTCAGGGGGGGGTAAGAGCTTTACCCTTCTGCAGAAAAAGGATGATGAAACGGTGGATTATCTGAGCAAGATACTCCTCCTGTGGTCAATTCAGCAACAGTGGTTGGTAACATGGCACTGTTAAGTGCACCCCTGTCGAGTCTTATGATAGGGAAGCCCTCCAAGTCAGCTTAGAAAATGCATTATCAGAGTGCAGCATATTAAGCTAAGCGTAGCCTCCCTCCGACAAAGAGATGGGGATTTTCTGGATGCCCCTCTTACCCCCAGAGGAATTGTTCAGAGCTTTCATATCAGTTGCCATGCAGCCTTGAAACAACAAGCTCAGCTTTTGCACCGTTTTCCTCTGGTGTCACCCATGCCTGTACTTCACGAGAGTTGGCACGCAAAGCCAAGCCTTTCGAACATTCGACGCAAGACCGTCCTTGCAGCCCCCACGCACCTCTGTCCGGGTCCCACCCCCAAGTGAGCTACACCGGCCCAGTTTCTGACAGCCCCGGCTGAATTATCATTGCGACAGTGAAATCCAGGGGGTCAACCCTGTTTGTGTTGCTCCTTCTCAATAGCTCCCTGTGGATTTGTGGTCCCTTCTCTCTCTCCCTCCCCCTCTCCCTTTCCCTCTAATTCGGTTGAAATGTGCCTTGTTGGAAACGCTGAAACATTTTAGGTCTCTCCAGCAGGCCACCATTCCTGTGCTGTCCTCTGCCCTGCAACCATGTCTTCCCTGACAGTGGCACAAGAGTGGCAGGCTCTCTCTCTCTATCTCTGTCTCCCTCAAAGAGCTGCATTCTTGTGCTGTCTGCCCTCTGCTCGTGTTTTCTTAGACAGCAGTGTGGGACTGGTGCGTGCACTCTCCCTGCACCTCCCTCATGAAGGCCCTAGTAGCTTCTGTGGGAGGATTAATTCTGCCGCTGTCTCTCGCTCCCCCACTGCAAAGTCTCAGTTGCAAGAGACTCTGTGTTAGCCTGGCATAGACTCCCATTGTGATATAATGTACTGGAGTCTGGGAAGTGGCCTATGTAATAATGGCGTCCTGTTTCAGAACAGAAACAGTTTCTGGTCTTAATCATGAGGCTGAGGTCATACTCCATGTGGTGAAGGTGGGAATAAACCCAAGGCTTTGCCACCATTTATCTTGTCTCATGACTGTCCTGCTAATGTTTTCACACACACAAAAAAATAAAAAATCACATACCTCCTTGGATGCACAGCAGTGGCTGAGCGTCATGGTTTCACGATTGGACCTGCAACATCACAAAGAGCCCCTGGAGACCTAGAGTGACCCATGCTGGTAGACATAAAAGCTGATGATGCTTTTACTAAGCTAGAGGATCTGACTGTTTCCTACAAGGTCGCAGGTGGAAGTATCCAGTGGAAAGTTCCTCTGACCCTCAGTGAGAACTGACAGAGATTCTCTAGACTGTTTCAAAGGTGCTCTTCCAGACCTTTGGATATTGTCTTTATCTGTTCTCCTGTTACTTTTTCACTTGGCTAAGACTGATTGACTTGTTTGCCATTTGGTCCATCCAAGCTGAAAGCTTTAAGAGGGAAGCAGAGTACTGTTGCATGCAGACAGAGCCGGTCCTTTAAGCCGTAGACAATTTAGAGTGTATGACATCTGGGGCATTTCAGTGTTATGAATTATTCTGAGAGGGAGGAAACATTTCACTGCTTGTGTCCTGTGTGTTTATTGGCATGTTATTTGGAGCACACAGCAATGTGAACTAGGCGCTTGCTAAACCCGTGTCTAAACAGAGGCATACCCATGGCATTTGTTGGCAGACAGGAACCCTCCCATGGATTGTCATGTGGTTATTGATCACAGCTAGTATGGCCTTGTGGTCAACACACTGACATTTATCAGGTTCTACTGGCTGGGTATTTCTAGCTTCCTCTGAGTCCTCAGAGTATCCTGAGAGTTAAGCCGGCCGTAATGTTATAAATATTGTAGCTGACATAATGTATTGAATGTTGTAATACAGAGAAAGAGACTCTTTACTAACTACACTTTCTTACAAATACAGCTCAGGAGCAGAACTTTGGGGATCGGTTCCTTCATGTGTTCCTTCAAGATGGAGCTCCTGTTGCTAAACTTGGGTGCGGTGGCGGCCATGTTTTGAATGCAGCAGCAGAGCAGAACATCAACAACAACAGATGGATGCCAATCACAATCCGGTAAGATCTCCTTATTTCCTCTGAATTCCCTAATATTCTAATGCCAAATTCATTATCTCCGGCTTACAAATAACAGCTTTTCTAATAAGTATTGTGATTTTAAAAAAAAACAAAAAAAAAACAGAGGTAATAGCTTTGGTTTCATTAATGTAGGACATGCAGAAGCACCGAGCTCCAACACAGCATTTGGCACCATAATTAATCCACCAAAGGGAGATGCTATCAACACTAAAATGGCCAGGTGATCTCTCCACCATGACAATCCACTATCACAAAAGCCCATAAAACTAATTATTGTAAAACATGAAAGTGATGATGTTCAAAGAAAGAACACAAAGAAATCTGCATCACCAGCTGAATATCAACACAGTAGCAGCAGTAGAATGACAAAATTTCACTTTTCTTCACTTTGTTTTCCAAAATAAAGCGAAACAAAAGGGGAGGTAATATAAAAACGTAGTCATTAATGAAATAAAAATGTGAAAATTGACTTATTTAAATGCTCCAAGCCCCATGCAGTGAGCAGCGCTCCTTTCTTTTATTATGTTCAATGGGATTTTTACACAAGGTCGCATGTCAGGGTCTCTTTGATAAACCCTGTGACAGCTCCCTGTCCAGTAGCTGTCCACATCAGCGCTGATCAGAGAATTGATTCCACAGTAATACAGAATTGCAATGAAAGCTCACTCCATCAGACAAATCCCAACTTTAATGCCCTGGATGGATCTCTGCGCACCTCAACAACTGTGCAGTGCCTGACATGTGTCAAAATGTCAAAGTCACATAAACAAAGAAAACTTGTCTTGGTCTGATGACTACTAACAGGAAGCTGTCTCCTTCAGAAAACAGACACTGCGATCACATATTCAGTTTGTCTGATGAAATGTTCATCATGCTGCAATAAATCGATAAACTTACCTTCTGTTTTCCCCATTACATGGATATATTCTAAATAACAACTATAGCGTGTACTGCACAGCTTGCTGTAACTTACACACTGTCAGAATGTGACCATGCAAAAAACATACAGAAATATCTGTTAGCATCAATGGCATCTTTTAGATCACATTAGTTCACAGAGAGATTTAACGTCATTAACCTTTGATGTTCAGTCTGCCGATAAAATTGGCCATTTCAGCAAATGGCTGTTGAGCGTTTTCCTGTAAGTGGCTGAGACTGTCTAATCTCGACTTAACACAGCAGGCAGCAGAACTTCCACCTCCAGAATGGCCCTGTAGTTTTCCTTACCCACTCAGAAATTGTTCTGATCTAGTAAAAGTTGCACTGCACATAGTGAGATAAGTGTTTACTTCAAATAAAAGTTCTTGCGTACATGCTTCTGTAGAGCAAACTTTGCTCAACGACCCCATCAGTGTAACCATGACACTGCATGCCAGGGTTATTAAAGTTGAATGTCAAGAGTCAAATGCAAACCTGCACAATTCATTTCAACATGTACATACTGTAACTTTAAATTACATTTAGTAGTACAACTATATTCATATACCATTTTAAATCCTAGTTACCATTAAAAAGCTTTGATTTAACCCTGTTAAAACAATTACAAAATGTATAATAATTGGATGCATTGCATTGAATGTACAGTACGCCATGATACAAAAATCCAGCATAACAGAATACAACACAGTAAGTAAAAGCATTTCTCTTGAGCCTGCAGAGCAGAGCAGTGACAAAGCTGCGATCAGTTGGTGCTAGCTTAGTTAGATAACAACGTAATAATCAAAAGCAATTACTTCTGCCAACTTTCCATGCTTGTCATTAGATTTAGCAATTTAATTCGTAAGGCTCCTCCCTGGATCAAATTGTTCCTTAAAAGCCACAATTAAACAAACGCAGCTCCTCTTTTGAATTATCAGGGGAAAACAGTCGACTCCTAAGTATTTAGAAAACGAATCGGTACCAAATGTTGAACCTGATCCACACACATTTGCATTTGCACTAGTTGCTTGTCTCATCCAAATAGGTCTGATCACAATGCTTCCCCATGCGCAGCTGATCTTCAGTCTCTGAAGTGCACACACAAGGCTTACAACTCAGGCACAGTGGGGCAGAGTGAGCCAGTGGGAGAAATGAGAGAGGCGCTGCTGCTGAGCTCTGCCTCTATTTATTCTTGATCGCTTCAGCAATTTCATTCATATGCAAATGAGCGCATGACATCATCTAGTCATGTTTGAGCAGTGAATACCTACTTTCCTTGGATGATAGTTGGCAGCGGTGAATACAGCTGCGGCAACTTGCTGCCGTCAGCATCTATGCATTCGCAGGGCAGTGGTTGTATTTGGCCATAAATAATCCCAGCTCCATTGACCAAATAGGGAAAATCCAAATTGCTTGAAGTCACTGTAACACATACTCCTCTCCCTCTTTTTTTTTTTTCTCATCTTTTTTTCCTCTTCCAGCACTCTCTCATTTTCAACCCACCAATCTCACAGTCATTGTCATCAACAGTCAAGCACTGTTGTATACACATGCACACACACACACACACACATCAGGGAAAGAAAACATTTTCCTTTTGCTTTCACACTAATACAATCACCGCTTTGACTTGCTCATGTAATACACCTAGCCGGCTGCTATTTTTCCACTGATGCAGCATTGTCGACGCAAAGAGATGTTATGCAGCCTCTTTTCAACTCACACTGCCGTACCGTGAGAAAATATGGCTCTTCACTTTCTTGATGCTTATCCATGCTGGGGCTTTTATGCGCTGTAGTTTTGATAATGACATAATTGCTGCGCCGAGTAGTGATGAGGATGAGAACCAAACAACACATTAAACAATGTGGATGGTTTATTTCATTGACATTAAAAGCCCTCCAGTGGGTGGTCACACAGCTGTTGCTGCTCCTCAAATGTTTTCACTCCACATTGTTTTCCCCACAGTCTGAACAAAATTTCCGTAATAGATCTCAATAAATTAACATTAAAGCCAGTCAACGAGTTTTTAGTTTCCTTGACCCGCCCATATTTGCAATTCTCTCGACGCCACAGAGGACCGCTGCTCAACAGTCCAACACCATTTCATCTCGCTAATCTTCCCCAACAAAGGAATGAGAAAAACATTGTGAATATTCAGTCAACAATTTAGCAGCCTGTTGTGACAGTAAACATAATTGAATGAATCACGTTCGCCTTTTATAGAGCGGCTTTTGTAGAGCAACAACTGCACTACAACCATCAGAACAATCCAGACAGGTTTGCCATACACAGGAAACACACTGTGTAGACCTCTCTTTAAAGATGAGCATAGAGCAGCTTGCATTTGATTTACTTTCACTTTATAAACCGCAGTCTGTGTAGAAACAGCATGTCTGGTTTGAGGAATATTACAGCTTGTTTATATTCAGGCAGACTGTGTAATGGTGTTATGGTACATGAGTGTTTTCTATTGAAAGAGTGCATAATAGACAAAATTGACAGTAGATAGGAGGCACATATACTGTAACATTACCATAACAGAAACTTTAAAGTGTGTTTTCTGCTTCTGCAAATATTTAATTTAATTTTTTTTTTTTTTTTTTTTTTTTTTTTTTTTTTTTTTTACAATTGAATCTACAAAGCATTTGTAGCACTCCGGTATAAAGTACACTGTAAAGTTGGTAAGACAAAAGGCCAGTAGTGGAAAGCCTTGCACTGCCGTATAATTTCACAAAGGGGAGTGTGCAGGGGAAAAGCTGTGTCATTTTTCATTTGGGTAGGACATGTTTGTTGTTGGCTTGGGTTTTGATGTTGGGAAGTTTCCCTTTGGGGATGTTCGGGGCAATACTGCGACGATTAAAGTTTGAGACCGTCAGACTCCAAATGCTCCCCAGGTCATTTCTGAGGCTGTGTACATTATTGGCTGAATCCCGTTGTGCTTAGCATTCAGTGTTGGAGTAATTTTCATTCACACACAGTCAAAGATCAACAAGTATGACACGTAGCATTCTGCAGCATCACATTTCTTCCCTTGTCACAAGTGAACTCAGAGTCCCTGGCAGATACGATTATTCAAATTTATGCCACTTTTGTGGCTGCCCCCCCTCCCCCCCTCCAGTCAAAGGAATGGGAGTAGTGTCGCAAACCTCAAATATGGTTCTGACTTACTGGGAATATTCTTTTTCATGACAGAAGATTTTGTGTCTAGCTAGAGTTTTGATGTTAGTGTTGATGTTTTTATGGACTGTCACATTATTATCTGTTTGAAATGAACTAAATATTCCGTTTCACCGGGAGCCATGCATGAATATTTGGCCATCACAGCTGTAATTTTCTCACAATTTTCCCCAACTTCTTTGTTGGATGCTGTGAAAATGTCAATGTAACGCTCGATCAAAGAAAGTAAAACACCCAGAATAGCTCGCTTGCATGCTTGTTTGGTGATGGGATAGCATATTGTTGGATGTCTCTTTGTAATTCTGACTTGATTTTCTTCTAGCTTGACTTATGTCTGATAACGTGATTCAAAAATACTCTCGCTCAAACACACGTTCACCACCACTGTTTACTGTTTGTAAAGGTACTTTGGACAATTCGGGGTTCATTGTCTTGCTTAAGGACACATGAACATGTAGACGGGATGAATCAGGGAACAGTCAACCAAATCTATAACTAATGGATGACTGATGAAACTTTATTCCATATTCCACCTTTTATTCCATATAGAGCAAGTTCCAAAAACACTGGGTCCTGCAATCCCTATAATGCATCTCAATAATGACTTTCGTTCGACCCTTGCTGTCTGGTTTAAAGCCCATGTCTTTCAGCTACCACCAAGTTCATAACTCTGGCTTTCTGTTGAAAATTTAAAGTGTGTTGCCCTTCTGAACTCTGTTATTTACTCAGACGTCAGAAGTCTTTATGTGTTTTTGTATGTGACCTTATTATGTAAAATTACAGTGAGCTTAAATAGAAATTCAGTATTCCAAAAGTATTTCCAGTAAAACCAACACAGATATTCTTTCAGTCCTGCCATTCCTCTCCGGCCAAATCTGTCTTCTTATACACTTGTAGCCTGTGATTTCACATAGGCTACGAATTTTTGAGTCACCCAGCCTCCCCTCCCTCAAATCTCACCCAAATCTCCTGAAGCAATGTGTTCCTGCTTTAAAAGCTGCTCACAGCACAGGACAACACATCTAGGAAACTGAAACCACTAGTAGTGTGAGCAATGCATTAATAAGTAATATGTTGCTGTTGCTGTTGTTTTTCACACTAATATGATAAAAGTAAATTTCAGTGATCAGTTATTGAGCTGATGAACATGCTCGTACGTTTTTGCGTGGAATTCGAACAGTTATTTCACGATCCTTATAAAACTTATATTTGAGTCTATTCTCTGACCGTTGAATATTGTTTTGATGTAAAAATACACATGCGGGTGTGAAATGTTGCCTAGCAACAGCTGCTGTAAGAGGAAGAAAACAGACGAGTGCTGTGAGAAGAAAAGAACTTCAAAATAATACCACAATTCAGAATGCCTGAGGAGTTCTTTGAATTAACGTCACAAACATCAGAGGCTCAACGTTCTGAATTCAACTTCTGTCCAGGTTCCGCCCGTTCACCTCTATCATCTCGCTCCTCAACGCGCTTGCTAATAAAGAACTAAGACAGTTGTTTATGCCCGTATATCTGCTGTGCATTATGGTACACACATGTATTTAGGGATACAGGTATCTTAAAAGTAAAATAATCGCAGCTGTAATTAATGTTTATCTGAGCAATGGGCAAAGCAATCCCTGTGCAATTTGGAAAAGTAATTAGTAAACGGTGATTGATTACTTTTTCTGAAACTACGCTAACAGTGGACAGAACCAATCCTGAGCACTTTCCCACTGGGTTTTAATTGCTGGAGGATTAATGGGGAAACAACATTTATTTTGGGGAGGTGCCATGCCACATGTGCAGCAGGGTGAAGAGTGAGCTCTTAATATTGAGCCTTTTGTTTTTAAATCCACATCCTCTTGTCAAAATGCCAAATCTGCGACCACGCGTGTTTATCAATCACACTGTATTCAGCAATCTATTGACGAGCACTGCCATAAAAGATTCATTGAAGAAGCAACCAGCAGCCCTGCCTGCTCACTTTGAATTTCTTGCATGAAGCCCCACAATGCCAAGAGGCTTGCTGTGTGCTGTCTAATTGTATTGGTGGAGATATAATGATAGAACACAGGCTCCCCAAATTAATTGAGGCTTGCCAGTCACAGCACAAATTATGCAGCAAATGCTGCAGTGCTTCGTGTGAGAAAGTCACTGCACCAGAGCCAGAGCAGGCATTACTGTCAATGTAGGTGTAGATTATGGTGTGATACAGGGCTTGTTGCACTTAAGGAAAAACCAACAAACAGATCCGTCCTGACATCTTGTGCAGTAGTTGTGCTGTAGTAAGATGTGACAATTCAGAATGCTACATCATTCTTAAGCATATGGGGGTTTGTTTTCTCTCTCCTCGCTCATATCTGATGTGTAGCCTGCTGTGCTAAAAAAGCATATTTAAGTAACAGGTGGCATTCACCTTCCTTTACATGTAATATATGTGACCCATTTACATTCTATTTGCTCAAAGGTATGAAACTCAACTGAGCATATTCTCTATATGCATTACTAATAGACTCTTGACTCTGAATCACTAAATGAGTCACAAATCATAAACTCACCACTACCATGTTCCACATTATCATTTGCTTTTTGTACAAATCTGAATTATGATTAGAATAATAAGCCATAAAGAAAAGTGACATCTTGCCTATCAGCCACTGAGAACTGTTGCAAGGGCACCAGCGCAGTGCGTGATGTTTTACTGCCATCTGTTGCCAATACTTTCAGATGTTTTATGCAATAGTAATATTTTAATGATGATCCTCCCTCATTATTAATTTCCTGCAGGGAACTGTGAAGGAGGCACGTTCAAATAGGATTGTAAAGACAAACACCCACCATCAGGTTTAACAAATACCTTTGTGTAAAGGTGCTGTGCTGAAAATATTTGCCAAGGTCCCTTAACATTGCAGGTAATATTTCAGTGGCGATCCTCGAGAAAGTTGCACTAATGCAGTTGCAGTGAATTAGTCACACACCAGACACAGTCTAAATGAGGATGTTAGAGATGACAAATCACTTATGATTAGAGCATTAGCCAGATGAAGAAATGCATAAATGATGAGTGAGTAAGTAAAAATGATCACAGCCATATTGTGGTTTTTTGTGTGTTTGGAGAAAATGAAATATTTATATGTTTTTGTTTGTTTACCTCAAAGTGGGAATTCGCTATTGTTAGTCCTGTGAGACCCAGCAGTGAGTGGCGCACAGGGAGCCCAGGAAGAAATTGCATTGTGCTTTATCTCTGCGTTAGACAAACCCCAGCTTCTTTTTCCTTCTGATTCACTTATATGTTTGTTTGTGTAATAGAATCCATTGTGGTTCTGTTTTTTATATGTCTGTGTGTGTGGTAGTGATGATGGTGATGAGGGGCTGTGGGGCATATTCCCAGCCATCTAACTCCTAGACCAAGTAAAGTAGACGTACAGTAGTCATCTTTATAAATAGTCATCTTTGCCTTAGAGCTGGACCAATGTAAATTAGCCTGGTGGAGCATTCAATGTGCTCACGAGAGTTCATCAAGTAACATCATCCTGTTTGCCTAGTGAGCATGCTCTCTATGTCTCGCAGGGCCAGTCTTTGCAGCATTATCAGGCCAAATAAAAAGCTACTCTGCTAAGCGCCAAAATATGCCTCAAATGCCTTCGGCAACAGAGTTGTGCTACGATATTTGTGATGTTTTGTGCCTCGCTAATGTTCGTTTTTGTTACACAAAGACATAGATCTTCACATTTAATCATTTCAGTCTTTTCATCAGGATCCCGTTTATATTCTTGTGTCTTGTAAATAAACAGTGGGGCGATGTAGTTTTCTGAAATCACTCACTGATCACGTACTGTTATGCTAATGTCGGGAAAATGACCTCTGAAACGCGGCGGGCACCCCAAGGATGGAGATGGATGTCTTCTCTGGACATTAGGCTGCATTTGTCGTTCGCAGCCTTAAATGTGCCTTAATTCATCAGCGCGCGTGTGTGCGTGTATACAAAAAGGCTCGCGTGATTTCCATACCTGTAATTAGTCTTACCTGAAGTTGTATGCATGTGATTGCCTCAGGGAGACGTCCTGGAAGGCTGTTTCAAATTAGCAGGAGGCCAATTGGCCTGATTGTTTCCATCTGGCTATTAAAACAGACATTGGAGGGGTTTTATTCCTCAACAACAGAGGCACGACCACAAAAAACAGACTGACGATTTTTTTTTTTTTTTGCAGAATCTGATTTGCAGATAAGCAACGTGATTACTTGTGTTACATGTTTACAGGCAAACAATGAATAAACCTATGGGACAAAAGGGCATTATGTAGATTACTCCTAACAGAGCCGTGTTTACGTGTGTGGTGTAGAGTGTACAACCTTTTGCATAATGTTCAGCCCCGTAAAGAAGCCGCTATTGTATATCGCCTGTATAAAGCCGGTGATGAATTGGAAAGAGGGAATCGCTTGACTTTGCCAAAGCTGGAAGATGACACAAGTAGACCAGCTACTTAACATTATGGCTGCAACATTAATGACTACTACAATTGTATATTTCCCCTGAGAGACACAGAGGGTCAAATGATAAAATTGTCTTCCTTCTCATTAGGTTTATAATGTATATCTAGTTTGTGCCCTCGTTTCTATCATTAATTAATCCTGAATGACATAATTAGCACTTAAACCCATCATCATGTTTTTTTGTTGATTTGTTATATTATAATATAATATAATATCATCATCATCATTATTATTGTCATTATTAGCATTATATGAAATAGTAATGCATATAATACACTATAACAGGTTCTGACAGGTTATCTCAGTCTGTGCTTATCTTTATTTTAGTGAATTTACAGGCATTATTATGTGCATAACATATCTGCTGAGAAACGCAACAACTTAAAGTATATCACCGCAGCACTGAGCAGAAACCTATTTCTGGTCTGATTATTTAAATCCAGCTGTGGAAGCCATTCCCTATTTCTGTTGTCTCTCTTGGGTTTGAGCTGGAGCTTTGTATTCAAACGCACCATTGCCTCCAGCCGAATCTACCAGTGCATAAAGTTTCTCATAAAAACAGTGTGTAATGTATACGTGGTCATAGATAGGCAGTTTATAGTATAGTCTCAGTGGCCACATTAGCAGCTCCATTACTGTGACTGCTCTGTCTGTCCGTCTCAACATCGGAATAGTTTTCATGCTTTGCTGGATTCATTGTGTTTCAGATATCAGATTGTGGAGAGCACCCTTTCTAACTAACCCCGGCCCCCTCTCTGTTCTCTCTCAACAGATACAATCTGCCTGTTGGCAAACAAGGGGGGTCATGTATGATTGAAATAGCTGCAGATAATGGCACAGCCCAGCGTCTCGAGGAGTACGTGTCACCTGCCGTGTCAGAGGTAAGCTGACCTGCCTGCAGTCAAATCAACCCTTTGTGCAGCCATTATCTCAAATTAGCATTTCTAATCCATAATTATGTCTTTGGTATCTCCTTTCTTTTGCAATACAGTTTACCTTAGACATATTGGAATGTTAATTAAAACACTAACATAATTCAGCATATATGACCTTACCCTATAAGGTTTAGGTCATATATGGGTATATATCGAGATAATGTATGTTGTGATTCGGCGCTATACAATGAACGTAATGCATCATGCTGTGTCGGTGGGGGTTGCATTAAGCACTTATGAGACATGAAATAATAATGAGTGTTATGAAAATAACATGAAAATAATCCAGGGATTCCAGTTTGAGTAATAGCTCCACAGGTTCAAAGGCTTATCCGGTTCCAAATCACTGCACAGCAGTTAATTGTATTAAGAGGAAAGATTCTTCGGCTCTGGAAAAGTTAGAACAGCCGCATCCATTCTTTATCTTTTGTCATGGCGATCTTGCCGGATGATGTCGTGTTACGTTCTGGCAAAAGTTGAGGAAGCGTCAACCTTTTTTCTTTTTTTCTTTTTCTTTTTTTTTTTTTTTTTTTTTTTTGTTGTATGACCCTGTCTTATTTTTCCAGAGCCCCCCCCCAGTGTGTTAACAGTCAAATGAAGTGGCCTCAGTCAAATGAATGACAGGCTTACATTTTTCTGTCTGAATGCAGCCTAAAGCACAAATATTTAGCAGCATTTAGAGTCCAACAATAATGTATTTGTGCCAAATATGCAGGTCTTTGAACTATAGTACCACACAGCGACCACAGCAATTCAAAATATGGCTTTCGTTCAATTCAGGAAACTGAAATATCTTGTAAATTATATTGTTTTGGTGTTGGTACTGATAATTTGGTATGTCAGCAATATTAAATAATATCAAAGGATACTGTAAATAATGTTAATTGGTTGGTCGGTTTATATGAGCGAAAAGCCCCAAACTTAATCAAATGTAAAACTCATGGCAGCAACATCATGAGTAGATAAACTGTATGTTATCAAAGCCAGCTGAGCACATTGTTTTTAACTAACAGCAGTTACTTTATGAATGAGGAACGGGAGCTCCCATTAAAAACATGTGCACCTGTTACATTATTTGCCAAGATGACACTTTGCAAGCATGTAAGTAGCACTAAGCTAGTTCTCACTTGTTAATCACAGGCTGGTCTTTTCACTCTGGCTCATTAATTTGATTAACAACACCTATATTTGTTATTAAATTAATAATTTTGTTTTCCTCTTTCAAAGACGCAGAGAGAGGCTCAACCTTCCCACAGGCTCAACATGCCTCCCCCTCCCTCAGTGTGATTTATGGTCTTCTAATTTGAGATGCCAAGATGTTTTTTTTTGTTTGTTTTTTTTTTTCTTAATAACACATTCATGACACAAGTATCTTTGCTACGTTTATATTGCACACTGGTTGCCGGTTAACCTTCACCATGGTTATTAAAGACTAATGTATCACCAAGATTTTAAAGATATTGTGAATGAATGGGTTTTGATTTTAAATTGTGCGTGTCAAATTGAACTAAATGAGAGCTGGCATGCAATAGTTGGGCTTTGAGCTAATTTCATTAAAATTACATGAAGTAAGAAAAGCAGAAAACTTGCATGTTGGAATAGAGGAATAGCCCTAGCTCCTAGCTACTAGACAACAGGCCAGCCCTGCTGTCAAGGGTTACTGAGAGTCTAAGGATAGAGTACAGATTGTAAAGCCCTGTGAGGCACATTTGTGATGTGAGGCTATATGAATATAATTAAGTGACTTGACATTGTGAATCCACAGAGGGACTTGACAGGGGTTAAAACCAACATGGCCTGGCTACGGACCTTGGAGAGGTCATGAAGTTAGTGACTGTCAGTCTCTAGTCTAGTCTGTAGACTGAGGCTCATCGGGCAATTTAGCAGATGTCAATGCACTACTACTACTACTACTCGCAAACATTACCAAAATAGTTTGGCAGATGTCGATTTAATATAGAAATGCTGAACTGCAAAGTCACTAAAACAAGTCATAGCCAGTATTATTTTGATTTAAATACAAAATAGTTTTAAATTCTGTCTTAAATCTAATCTAATCTTATCTAATAATGTATATGAAGAATGTGTGGACATATAATAATGGAAATATTGACTAATGCTGCCTTCAAATAGAGCTCAGAAATCAGCGTAGGGCACAGGATAACTCAGTGATATGAGTCCACTTACAAAGTCATGAATATTACATCAGTGGGTCTTTCAAATGGACTCTTCTCATAAACATGGTAAACACTCTTGAAGGCATCATAAAGTTATTCCATATCAGTCCATCATCATCATGCAGCCTGAGTGGCTCATAGCTGTTTGTATCACATAAAATATGGCTCAGCTCATTGTAAAAGTATCCAACCACAGCTGCTCATTTCATTTGAATCTTCAGCTTTGTTAAAGATACTTTTAGGCACCCTCACACGTTCCTGTGAACCCTGCCATCCGTGTCTTTTTTTTTTATTTTTTTTATTTTTTTTTATAGGCTTTCAAATATGCATCAGTTATGTCAAGTTGAAGCTTGCATTGAACCAACATCTCCAATGATGATGCGGTCCAACACCTCACTGTCCCTCCACTGAACACCTCCACTGCAGCTGTCTAACACCTTCCCGCCAGAGTGGTGGAGTCATGACGAATGTTACATCGCAGGGACGTCGAAGTCACATAAATTCTGATGTGGCTGCTAAGATTTCATAACGACTGATGTGAAATTGAAAATGTCAAGATTCAGTGCAATTTGATACGTTCACAGTGGTATTAAGAAGTCATAGAATATCTGCTCTATTCTTCATGAAGGATTTTTATCCTATATTGTATCCCATAGAGAGGTCGGCATCATCAGCGTAACTTTTAAACTACACAAAATTTTACCCAAAGGAAGCAGGCGGGGAGAGACAGATTTGAGCAAGGACTGATCCTTGGCCCACATAAGTAAGATTTATAGTTTCTGACATACAGCCTCCCATAACAACAGAGTCTGCCTGACTCACCCATTTAATACATGACATGAGAGGCCTGCATTGTGAAAGGCATTAAGTGTAATAACTGTCTGTACGTCAACCAGCACTCATATCTCCCATGACCAGATGTGATAAAATAAAAGCATCCATGTCAATAAGCTAAAAACAGGGATAGTGAGTACTGTCAGTATCAACTTTGCTAACTGTCAAAATAAAAAAGGTGTTTTTTGTGTTTGTTTTGCTCAAAAAAGACCATAAAAAACAAACCTATTTATGAATTAAACAAAAAATCCCTTTGACGCAAGGGAGGTTTATTTTGAAATTCATTGTCACCGTTTTACACAATTTGAAAGATTGAGTAATGAGGCTGTGATAAATGATTTGTCTTTCATAAATTAATCATCATCATGCGTGTCGGGTGTATGAAAGTATTACGTAAACCTTCTAAATAGACAGTAGTATTCAATATTCATTTGAACAACCTGGGGTCACTGCTGTGAATGGAATATATATGTAATTCAGTGCTAACATGAGACCGTTCTTGTGCTCCATTTTCTTTTTTCTTCAGCTCTACTTTGGTAGCAGACACAATTATGCCTCACTTGTTAAATTGACCGTTATGGCAGGATAAGCTGCAAGTTCACAGAATTTATCTACATTAATTCTACCCAATTACCTTGCACATCAAAGAAAGCTTGCAGCATTTTTTTCTTTCGATATTTTACCTCTTTTTCATTGTATCAGCGTGTGTATTATCATATGAGTTCAGAGGGTCTGAAAAACGAAAGATGATAACTCCAGTTTCTTGTCTAGGTTATGCTAAAACCACATTAATCTGGAGAGTAACATTAGCTGATAGTGTTAATCTTTCTTGTTCATCTTAATATACATTAAGGTTTTGTTAATGTAATAATAATGTTAATATATTCACACACACTGATACTGAGAACGTGTTTTTAGCTGTTAAATTCATACTTGAAAGGGAACATATTTGTGTGATTTACTAAATGATCATTGATCTTTTTCTTTTTCTTTTTTTTTTTTTTTTTTTTTTTTTTTTTTTGCAGGGAACTTTTGGTCCCATATTTCTTGGGGATATGTCGTCCCACTGGGAGATGCATGATGGGAGTGCAAAGGGAGCAAGGAGATTCATTGGCTGTATCAGGGAACTTCAGGTCAACTCAAAGGAGATTTACCTGGTGGGTGAGGCAGTGAGAGGGAGAAACATCAAGAACTGTGACCCGCCCGTCTGCCAACACCTTCCCTGTCGTAATGGAGGGACTTGTGTCAGGTACTAAGTCACCTTTTACACTGATTAAACATTACTTAACTCCCTTTGAACTTGAAAGTCACTAAGAATATAAAATAGTGTCTCAAATATATTTTCATCCTGTGATAGTACAACATAGCACACAAAAAAATGACCCTTGAAATGAGGTGCACTGCAGCTGAGTAGAACTAGTGTTCTGGATGTGCACGTGTCAAACAAAAGAAAAGGAGTGTTTACTGGATAAGCTTAAGATATAAACAACAAAGGTCATGAGAAAAATGGAGTATGAATGACAGAGTCATTACATCTCCAGCTGCTGTTTTCTTATGCCCACGTCACTCAGTATGAAGCAGAGCCAGACAGAATCCGTCGTAGAAATATATATTCCAGTTTAAATTGTTTTCTCAATCTGTAATAACATGAATGGGGATGTGGCTGTGCAATGGGAGCTTTGAACACACACTAACCCAGTCAGCCAGCTAGTGAAATGACAGTTTTGGCAACAGCTCCTCTTCCTAGCACCAACCCACTGCATAACTGTTCAGCTGTCAACCTTATCTTATCTGCATTGGACTAATTTGAATGTAGGTGTTCTGCAGGCTAACTGTGCACTGTGAAATACTGAGCTGTGACTCAGTATCAGCAGAAAATCAATATAAATGTATTATTAATCGAAAAAAAAGGGTGAAAAAAATGGAATTTCTAGAATTTTGAAATCCCTTTTTGCCTTCCAGGCACGATATGCATTATGCATAATTCAAGTGTTTGTGGTGAAGTTTGGAAGATGCAAGTCAGTAACAGTTGCATGCCAAATCTTTTTTTTTTTATAAATAAACAAGCTGTTACAAAAGCTGCAGCTTTGCAAGTCGATAAATTTTTCAGTGTTGTTGAAAGTCTGTCTTCTCCAAGAGTTTGTAACACTGCACCAATTAAATGCACAACACACAATAAACGTTGCAATAACAGAGGCTCAGGCAAAAAAAAGGGAAAGTGCCGGCTTCAGTGTGATGGCGCCTGCTCTCCCTCAGTCCCACAATACTGCTGAGGGGTCAGCAATAATAAGAAAGGTCAGTTAGTTGTTGACCATCCGCTGCTTTTGTTCAGCTTCCTGCTCGGTTCAAAATTTCCACTCCACCTCCCGCTGAAGACTGACATTTGATACAGATAACTTGGTGTGAAGCTGCATTGACACATCTGCGTTTACACCAGAGGAACTACATCTAAATTTTAAAGCCGCTATGATAAATATAATTAGATTAACGATGAATGGCAAGACTGATTGTATTTCAATGGGTCGCTCATAGTGAGGAACCCACAGATGATGACTTTCCCCCTCAGCTCTACATAGCATTTCAGTGTCTGCCCACAGCTCTGCTGTTGTGGTTCACTCTCACCTCATCACACTCACTGTTTTCAGTGAAAAAGCTCTGAAAACACATTATGCACTACCTGCCCAGCACCACAGAGACAACATTAGCAACTAGCTGGTGAGCATATCGGAGCATTGAGAAACTGAGAGATGAATATTTACCTCAGGAGCTGGTGGAGACAAAAACAGAGCTAATAGAGGAGTGAATATGAGTGAATGTGACTCAAGATAAAAGTCAGTGTTGCTCCATGTCTGCTGGATGTGTAAGGTTCACCACATCAGCTGGAAAAAAAGGTGATAATTTGTCAGTGTTGTGTTTACATCTTATTTCTGCTGCTCCAATGTGGCCAAATAAATCCATTGTCGCAGATTAAAATAATTATAGACTTCATAATGACATGTTCTAACTGTGTTATATTGTTGTTCATATCACGTTGAAGTTAAATTATTGTGTCATTTACTTATAGAAAAAAAACAGATTGACAGAGGACTACACCTCATAATGAAGATTTGTCATCTTTAATTACATTGATTTTACACATAACATTATTGACAAATTCACTGAAGGAGTGAGACAGTCATGCCGTGGTTCTTCCCACTTCTTCCTGTAAATGTACAGTAATTTGATTGCCCAGTAGAGGTAATCCCTGAGCCGACATTAGTCCCTTGTGCTGTGCCAAATATGTGAAGCTCCTTTCCTCCTTCATCTTTATCTCGTCCAGCTCATCAGACTGCCATCACAACCCACTTACCAGCCATGTTGGCTTTCTTTTTTAAGTATGCATTAACTACATGTGATACTCTTTCACCTTAAGTAATCCAGAAAGTAGCTGCCCTCGACGTCCCCTTCATTGTGTTATGACACTATCAATTAACAGTTGCATTTATTAGACAGGAAATGAAAAAGGGCACCGCGAATATTGGAATATGAATGGCTCTAAGAATACCAATTAAGAAGCTGTGGCATTGTGGTCACATTGGCTTGTCATGTGTGAAAGAGTGGGTCTTGCAATTATCTGTGTGATGAACACACGTTAATGCAGTATCCTCTTGAACCGCACAGCATGGAGGGGTCGCCGGGAGTTCACAGAGCTCTCTTCATTCTGTTAGTTGCCCTGAATTGCACTGCCACAATATAATAGGATGAATAAGGACTTTGATTGTGGGTTCAGTTGGGGTGATTTCGGCGACATCCCCCTTTTCATGCGGTTTTCTGTTCACTTAGGCATGTAGGAATATCAATATTAAACCTGAGAGGATAATGGGTTGTGGTTGCCGGGTGATACATACATATTAGGTATTTAAGTGACATCAATGTGAAAAGTCGGGCAATCGGCACCCAAAGGACCATGGCCTTTTTTATTCTTTGGTGCCAGCTCTGTGATGCCTGATATCTGTATCATTTATAAACCTCAGCCGCGGCTCGCACAGACCATGTCATTAGACCGACTGTAAAAACAGCAGATCGAAATGTTAAAGTGGAAATTGTGTCCAAGAGGCACTCTCCATGCTGTAAGTGCTTTTCAGTTGCTCTGCAACAAACAAGAGGAAAAAAAGAAAAGAATATTTCATGTGAACACCTGTGTCTGTCAGACAGATACAAAATGCAACATGTCATCATCTCCTGATTAGACAATTAGATAAATATACTGCACTCTCCCATCCGATGCAATCCACAGATGTACTTGTGACCAGTTGCGGGGCTGGTGGGGGGTGCAGCGTGAAGACATTTGCACCTGGATCCCCCTGTCCCCTGACTACAGATGTGCTGCTGGGGTGCTGATGTTGATGGCGTCCCGGTGTGCATCTGCCTGGGTGTGCAGTGAACCTTTTGTAGGAGCAGGTGGCAGCATCTTGTCTGTGGTTAGGGACTACGATTTTAGACCATGTATAAAGCACCCAGCGAAATTCTTTTTTTTTTTTTTTTTTTTTTTTTTTTTTTTTTTTTTTTTTGTATATTTGTATACGCATCAACTGCTTAAGATCTTGTTTGTTACAAGAAGTTGATTTTAAAGTAAGATAAGAAGAATTTTAATATGTCTAATGTGTATTATAGAGAACATCAGGTAATATACCATTTATTTTATGTTTATCTGTCTACTGGTGTGTTTTATGTAATATATTGATATGATATGTTAATTACTGCACCCAGGCCATAGTCTGACACATAACCCTCAGTGCTGTTATGTGGCTATTCTATACTTTTTTGTTTTTAGAGCGTTTTTGCTAAAGAAAGCTGCCTGCTGCATCTGATTAGAGCAGTGATAATGAACCAAAAACACAATGCAGGCCATAAAACCAAAATGGAGAGCTGAAAGACACTGAACAATAGTCCAGCAATAATGGCCCGTGGGTTTGTCTTCAAGCAACACCTTTCAATATAGATATAAAAAATACTGATTTTAGCTGCTTTAAAGTTAAGCATCAGAATATGGAATCTTGTGATCTCCTCGCTCACATAAATAGATCCGAATTGTTACTGTGAAGAGAGGACTGACTTATGCTCACTCACACACACACACACATACAGACGCACAGAGCAGAACTCACACAGACAGAATTACTTCCTGCTAATTGGCTGCAGTTAGAGACTGTGTCATGTTTGTTCTGCGATGGTCCAGCTTCGGTGGCACACACAACTCCACTTAACAATAAATTCTCCCAATTCTCCATTTCACTGTCTGCAAATGTTCTCCACAAAGAAAGTGAAACCAATTTTATCTTAATCAGAGTTCCAGCTATTCTTGTTTCAAAGTACCTATAAAATAACTCAAGGTCCAAGATACAATTATTTTAATTCACCATGAGAAACAAACAGAGCTATCATCCTGTGTGCAATTGCAATCCCTGAAGAATATTTCCTGAGAACTTGCTCATTATAGAGTTTATTGCATTTGTGTCTTTGAATTTTGGAGGACAAGTGCATTCAAAACAACTGTGTGAGGGTGTTTTTTTGTCCATATTGGTTATTTTTATACACATAGAGATTTTTCTTTTTTTAAAATTAGTGTCTGTGAAACCTTGACATACCTAAAAGTAACTAGATAGTAATTATGCAATTATTAGTGTGACTTGGCGACAAGTCACAGATAAATCGATATGAAAACAGGAGCAAGAAATGCTTCTGCATTAGGTTTTCTATTACAAATGGCCATATTTGTTATTTAGACCTCTGACTCAACAATAAAAAACAACAGAAAGAGAAAGGTCAATGAACTTTGGTTTCCGAATGATTTATTCTGAGTAGAGCGTAGAAATAATGTTGAAATGAAAGTAACCATGCTGGTTTTTTTTTCTTCAAGGGTATTTTTCAAGGATCAGGGCGGCATTATAAAATGTTTGTTGTTTTTGTCAACTAATTCCATAAAACAGACCAAAATTGACAGTGTGTTAATCCGTTTCTCACTAATTTCCGACTCCCTTAACCTGCCTGTGGCCCTTCGCCTTGAGCCCATTGGTTCCTAGTTAACAAATGCACAGTTCAAATTTTCAAAAAGGCTCAGAAATTTTCCTAAAAGAGCTGAGCACTGTAGTTTTTAGCAAACTTTAGCAAACAGGATTAACTAAAGCATCTTGGGGACTATTTTCAGCAGCGGATGAATGCCTAGTTGGTGCTGTAGTGAGTGGCTGCAGGACAGTGTAGAATCAACTCAAAGATATAATACATATTAGACTTTCGATAAATAGACAATACTTTTTCAGATCGGTTTGGTTTTGGTCATGGAATTTATTGACAAAAAAAACCCAAAAACTATAGAATAATCACCAGCCTTATCCTTTACCTTTTAAGGAAGCAGATAGCCTCCACTTGGTTGTAAATTGAATCTTGAATGACAAGGATTGTAAGGAGCATGTGTACTGTAGACTATCAGATGTTGTTGTTCTGGTTACCAGCTTCATTAGAGTTGACTAAATAACGCCTCTAGAGCTACAGCTGATTTCTTATTGAACCCAAGTTTTGAATGTGAGACAATTTTATTCAACAGCGTACTTGTGATAACAAGTCTGAGTCTGTAATAATGTCTCAAAATTCATTAGTAGACACAAAATAATTAGTTTCTGTTCTCAGTTTAACCCAAACTGTAACCTTGTATTTATTATCAAAATGTGCAAGACTCCACTGAGGTAATTATACATAATCAGAGGAATGCAGTACAGCTATCTGTAGATATCAAATATTTCTCTCCGCAATAGAAGTGCCTAAAAATTGTTATGTGATCATGAGAAAACAAAACATAGAAGTAATTACACTATCCACAGCCTTCTGCAGTGGTTTGTGTCAAATACTGAAGGAAATTGATATGTGTGTGTGTGTGTGTGTGTGTGTGTGTGTGTGTGTGTGTGTGTGTGTGTGTGTGTGTGTGTGTGTGTGTGTGTGTGTGTGTGTGTGTGTGTGTCTATGTAGACACACATCAGCAGGTGGTTTTAGTGGAGAACATTATGATCTCCAGTTAAAGAAATCTGTTCTCCTCAGTGAGGTGTCAAGCAGTCTAGGCAAAAACATCATGTAATTTCATCCATTGTGTTCATCCAGCTCAGCCAGTGTTCTCACAGTTTATCACTTAAACTGGTTGGGGTTTTTTTTTTTTTTGTTTCACTCCTTTGTCATGTCAGTGACAGATGACATTTTCGTTGTTGTTGTTTCCTTTTAAACACTTTTTCAGTTTTAGTTCCAACAAAAACACAGCTCAACATTTTGCCATATTTTTCTCTCTTTGCAAATGCTACTTGTGTTTGGTACAAGTAGGTAGAACTTCACATCATTTGGCTCAGTGTGGGCTTGCTATTTACAGCCTGTGTGTTGGTGAGAGAAACGACCAGTGATACTGTTACATCACAACAGGGAGACTAAGTCCTGGATGAGTTTTGTGCCCATAGAAAAGAAATAGTTTGGCCTCACCCACCCTCACCCAAGAGGCTGACTAGTGTCTAAAGCAGATCAATTTTATCACCCTTCTAAAGTTAAATCTCTGATACAAACCTTTATTTCTCAGACATGAGTTAAGTATCAAGAGTTTATCAAAAAGAAGAAAAAACTTTTATTAGCGCATTTGAAAAAAGTCAAGTTTGAACGCGTGAGTATAAGTGTTTGAGAAAAGCACAGCTTTCCTCAGAGTGCAGTGTGCTCTAGGTTGGACCACAGAAAAATTGTCTGATCCCTTGAGAAAAGTTCCCTCATGCTTTATGCCCCTTTTCTATAAGGATTTTATTTCAAGTATCATCTAAAGTATTCTTTTCTATGGCAGTATGTTTCAAAAGACTCTGTGATGGAGACTTAACAGACATCACCCTAGTTCTCCGCCAAGGAAATGTTTGTAAGGGTGCCTGGAAGAGGTCAGGGAAATATCGAGCAAGCATTTGCTCAAACAGGAGCTTGAGTACGTCAGGTGAATGCCGTGTGTAAATTCCACTTCATCCCTTTGCTCATAATTCAAATGACAAATAATTGGGTGAAGAGCAAGTCATCTTTCAAATGATTTTCCCTCCCACCAACTAAGAATCATAGTGCCTGTAGTATAACAGTGTCCAATTGGCTGTTTACAGTACTGGAAAGCAAATGGCGTTTCGGTACCAAAGCAGTTCTTCTCTATAAATAATATCGGCTAAACCCAGTGGTCCTTTTTTTATTTTAACAAAGGATGAAGTGGACTAAATTCTTTCATCCGGAGAACTGAAGACTGCCATGGCAGAGCCTCATCAGTGCCTGACTGCTGAAGTGTATTTGCATACCAACAAGCACTTGAAAAGAAGTGTTCTGTAAATAACTTACAAGGGATGAAATTTGAGAAATGCATGTGACCACACAGCTTATTGTAGTGGCTGACAGGGATATCATAAGCTAACCGGTCAATTATTCATTATTTTATCTGGTACTCATTAGATTAAAAATGTAGTCCTCCTTAATAATTTATGCAGCATGTGTGCTGTGGAGTTGCAGCCTTTGAATGGTTTGAGATATGGCGAGTACCAACTTTATGCATTTGTGATTAACATATTCAAATTAGTCTGCAAACATTACTACAATTTAGTAATCAAAGTGATTGCCTCTGGCAAATTAAAATAACCTTTTGTCACCCCACACATCAAGTTTTTGATTAGGCCAATTAAAACTCAAGTGTTTTCAACCGTGTTCCTTCCCCCCGTCCATCTACACTTTACCTTTTCTGAGCCAGAAATAACCACTGCCTTTTTCTAGTGCTTACACTCAAGTGATTTGACAATTCATTTTTACTGGTTTATCCTCCTTTAGATTACATCTGGTTTAGTACGTTCACTTGGCAACACTTTTTTAAGTTCAGTGTGTAAACAGGGTAACATAGTGGTGAGCAGATCTAAGTATTTATTAATGTATCTGTTAACAACTATAACTCCTACTGTGTATGAACAGATAATGTATAAAATAGTGAAACAAAGTTATAATAATGTAATAATAATTGTTGACAAATTCTATAGATTAAGAACCACATAAAAATTTCTTTAAATCTGCCTTCAACTACACGATACTGCAATATAAACTGTTTGTTAAATGCTTATACACTGATTATAAAATATATGGATTTAATTGTTAACGTCTCTTTTCTCAATAGTCACAATATTGTTCTATAAGGATGCAAAGATATCTGAATGTCTTGCCACAACAAACAGGCGTCAGGCAAAACTTCCAACGCGACTGATTCCTGTCCAGACTGTTAATTATAAGCTGCTCTCAACACATCTGGAAAGAACTGTTGTTTACCCAGTGAAGGTGGTGAATTGTTTCAAGGTCATTCTTGTTGCATGGCCTTGTGTGATTCCTTTGTATCATGAGCTGGGGTTTTTTTTTTTTTTGTTTGTGTGTGAGTGTCTCTTCCTTTAGCTCTGATGTACTTCAACTCAAATATTTTATGTAAAAAGACATGAATAAATAAATACATCCTCAACTAAACCACAACCACCACATTTTTAGAGAATTGTGCACATAGAGGCAGGTTTAAAATTGCATGAATTCAGTGTTTGTAAACATGATCTAACTTTATAGCATCTATACTAATTTGTCAAGTCTTCCACATTATTAAATTTGTGTATCCACCCATCTATACATTTTCTACACCCACTTGTCCAGTGCAGGAATGTGGAGCCAAGGAGTTAGTATACAGCAGGCAAAGCACACACACAGACACATTCACACTTACATTCGCACCAGCAATTTAGACTGTCACCTAATTCACCTAACCTACTTGTTTTTTTTTTTTGTTTTTTGTGTGTGTGTGTGTGTGGGGGGGGTGTTGATGGTGGGAGGAAACTGGAGCATCTGGAGGAAAACCCACACAGTGTGTGTTTGTCACCAGCATTTAAACGCAAACACTAACTGACAATGCGAGGGACAAATTAGCAGCACTCAAAGCTCTGAAACATGGAGACACAACCAGGAGGTGCTCCATTAAATATTTGATTCTTCTTCACACAGGTTGTCAAACTTTATATGAATGACGATGGCGGCTCTGTTCAATGCATGACAATTTCCATCTGTGACTGTTATTTTGAAAATAACGGTCACGATTGGCAGCGACAGTGCGTGAACATGTGCCTTAAAACATCTTGAAATTGACATTAGCAGCCTGTTACTAATCATACACTAGAAATTTTACTGCATTGTACAGCATCCTTTTGTACCTCAATAAAGTCATATCTAACAATGCTCAACTATGGTGACAGAATGTAAATATTTCATTTCAAGAAGCTAGTTTTTCAAGGAGCAAGGAGGATACATCCTGCAGTGCTGCTGCTCAAAACACATTATTAATTTATAGATTTGAAACCCCACCGATGCTTCCTCTATCTGATATTATACCTTTCAAAGTCGCGCACATCGTAGAGCATTTTATAAAATCCTTGTCTGGATATTACTTTGCATGCTAGATCACCCTCCTCTTCTTGCCAAGAGACGAATCGCACGCATATGAATCGAGGAAAGAAGACACCGAAAGTCTTGTACAATTTCTGGTTCTAAGTTTCCTGACACGTTACTAATCATCTGCTTTCTGCTGTTGTTTTTCAGGGTGCGTGTGTTAACCTTCACCAGAAGACATGTGAAGTCATTTTTGCCTCTGCATTAGCTTTTAAGATGAATAAATCCTTAACAAGAACCTTATTTTTCTCCACCGCTATCTGTGAAGCATTCACTGAAATGCTGGTGTTTCAGCAGTTCTCATATATCACAAAGTATTCCATCAGGCTGGCCACATTTACTCTTAACATCTTTTCAAATCTTTCATGCATTACAGGTTGGGTTATTTTATCCTCGCTGCTCTCCCTGTGTGTTCAGCAGGCCACTGTGCGAGCTTGTAAAGCACCTGGACATGTTGCTACAATGTCATGGTCCATTTTCACCTCTGGCCTAATGATGTCTCCCTCTATGTATACACGTTTAGTGATGCTGAGGACTGGTTCTGCGAGTGCCCCCCGCTCTACACAGGCCGGCTGTGCCAGTTCAATGCCTGTGAGCGCAACCCCTGCGGTCATGGAGCCACATGCATCCCAAAGTCGCCACTGGAGGCTGTGTGTCTCTGCCCCTACGGAAGGCAAGGTCTACTGTGTGATGAACGTGAGTGTTACAAAGAGCAGCTCCACTCAGATCAATGCAGCGTAGATTTAGCAGCATTATTAAGAGGCTGATCTGCAAACAGTTGGTGAATGAGAGCCTTGAGCAGTTGGCAGAATGAGAGCCTGTTGTTAAGTAAAGGGATTAATGAAACTAAATTCTGCTGAAAAGGCAGAAACGTCTTCCTGCAGCAATAGTCCGATAATCAAAGCAAAACTCACAGCTGCTTTGCTGAATATTCCAAAAGACTCTTTTCAGTTCATAAGATCTTTATTCCAAACATCTGTAATTCCAGCACAGCACAGACTCAAAGTAACTTTTATTGGTAATTTTTCTCTAAAAATGTGAGGCTGCTGCTGTACCTTACCTAGGGTGTCGATGTGTTCTCACATTACCAGAGATGTTAATAAGCTAGCTCACTGTCACATCTGCCCATCTGTGGTCACTTATTTTCCCTTTCATTATAGGCTGCTGTTTAACATAATACCCTAGCATATATTAACTTTCTATTTCTATCACACAACTCCACAGCTATGAAAAAAGAAAAAGAAAAGAGATTTCATCAAGGGACATGAAATGCTGACTGGCTAACCAGGACTAATAATTTCTGAGCTGTTAGCATTTTGACTCTTGAATGAGTTTATAATAGTCATGCAGTTATCTAACAACAGAAACCAAAAACATATCATTGATGGGATCTGTACATGTTATATACAGAATTATTGAAATATTGAAACACAAATACAGGTGTTATAAGTGATCTCCACCTAAGCCTAAGTCATTGAAAAACAGCAGTTGTTGAACTGACTAAAGGAGCTATTTGTAAGTTTTTCTTTCGCTACGTAGCCAATATTAGCATTACCAGCTGTTTACTTAGCAGTCCAGAATAAATGTTTTGAATTGAGCATCAAACTTCATTCCTTTATTCATCAAGAGCTGTCTCCAGTGGCGGAAAGCAAACCTCTTATTTCGCTTCTCTTTCTCTCACTTCTTTTCTTCTGCTGAAGTTAGCATGCTAACCAGCTAGCCCAGCCAAGTCGTCTGAAGAAGTGGCGCTGCTCAATGGGGCATATAACCTATTGTCTTGTAAACGCAACGATGACTGAAGCTCTAGGCAAGACTGGGAAGTAAACAGCTGTTAATGCTAATGCTGGTTTTGTAGCAATAGAAAAGCTTAATAAATAGGTCTTTTAACATAAGAAATGAACCAGATATACTGGACAACTGAACTCACTGTTAAACTTGCTATGTTTTTACATGCCTCTGGGGATCCAAACTGAAATCTTACAAACCTCCAGGTGGTTTCTTTGGATCTTTCCTCAAATTTTTAATTTGCTTTGGTTTATGACCAAATACTATGCTTTGTGTTTAATTCCAATTTCCAAATATTAGCACTCTGATAGGGAAAACTTAGATGGTGAACATGGTTAACATTTTACCTGCTAAACGTCAGCATGTTACCATTGTCAATGTGCATGTTAGCATGCTGATGTTAACATGCTGATGTTAGCATGCTGATGTTAGCATTTAGCTTTTCTGAAGTAGAGCCTCACCAGTGACCAAACATTTACTTTCATCTGCCATATTTCTGCGTAGGCTATATGATGTCAACAACTCAGCAAGTCATGTACCAAAATTTTCACAGACTTTCCAAAGTTTTGTTCTGACATTAATTTTTCTAGTCGGAAACAAATTTTTCAGCTATCTAACACCAAATGAATGCAGTATCATATATGTATTTCAAATGATCTAGAAATGATAGTAATGGTAATTTTCAATTCTTAATTAATATATTTTCTAAATAGAAATACCATGAAAAGGGTTAGGGGGCTTCACAGGCTATGGTTTTGAGAAACAAAGGGTTTTGCTTGACTGAACTGACTGTAGGAGCAGCAGGGTGCTTGGCATATAAGTTGCTCAGCCATGCCACAGCCCCTGTCAAACTCTCAGCACCCACATACCAAACAGAGTAATCTAACCTTTCAGTGTCACACTATGTATATGGCTGACATTTGAATTTTAATCCTGATATCATCAGATAAGATCAGAGTCAAAAGTGATAACTCCTAAAGTCTTCCTGCCTCTCACGGCTTTTTTGTACTTGTTACTTGTAGAACTTTTCCTCATGTATTATCCTTAGCAAAATACTGTCGCTGAAAGCATGGTAATTGTTTTTTTTTTTATTCTCTATTTGAGAAAAACCTTAAGTTGAAACAGTGATGTGATTTTTTCTAAATGTAATATTTTCTGTTCTTTCTTCCCACATGCGCTTTAATAGATGAGGTTGGTCTGTGAACACGCAGGAAATGGAGGAAAGGGAAGACTAGGAAGTGGTATTGATGCCTCAAGAGTTGAGCTCGTGAAACATTAATGGATATTTAAGATAACTTCACTCAGAATTATTAATGGTCTACCTTTGTACACAAGTTGCCCATACCTCCTGTTAAGGATTCATGTTAAGAATTAATAGAGTACTGAAAACAATACACTGAATGTGAAGTGTACAGTAATGCTAGCACAGTTTCACCACTTGCAAATGTGCTTATCATTTTAATTTCAAATTAATGTTGTCAAGTCTGAGTGCACAAAGCAAGGAAATGCTAACACTGCTTAAACAGTCGAATAACAAACACACAAACAGCCAAGTGTAGATATAGTTATGTAATGCAATCTGTTTTTAGTACATTATATTTCCATAGATACATCTCATACAGTCCGATCTCAAAAGATTTCATGTTTGTGCTTAAACACTCAAACACTAGCATTATTCTCCATCAGCACATCAGTCTAGTATTGATTTAGTGAAATTTCTGTTAACCTTGCATTGTTCTGAGACTGAAAAGAATATAATAGTATACTGTACACAGAACCTCTAACTCAGGAAATGTGTTGTTTTCCAGCTGCTCTGTGCCCACCATGTACATGCAGTTTTTTGTCAGAATGAATTTTACAATCCATTCGGTTTTTCTTCTGCCGCTCCTATTCGATTGCACCATATTACACAAATACCCAGAAAAGTGGAAATACTATGTTATATTATTTCATTTCTGTGGATGCATTTCACAGAGGCAGCTCATGAGGCAGTTTTTTGGTACTATTTTCTAACCACTACTTTCACCAGCACTGAGCAGTATTTCAGAGTGTTGCACAATGATGAGTTAGCCAACAGAAACTATTGACTAAGAACACGTACATGTATACCTATAAAAATGATTTCTATCGATATTCTCTTTACACATTTGAAAACTATGCTCATGCCATATGCCTGAGAATAAGTAGATGTCCAAATAATGAGTGAATGAGTAAAAAAAAAAACCTACAGATTTACTCAGTAATTCACTACTACAGTCCTATCACCTCATAGATCTTATGTATTATGTGAGTTTGGATGTATACTGTTCAGCACACCCAAAGGTAACTGAGTAAACTCAGCCTTAATCAAGATTAAACCTGCTTGCAGGATAGCTCAAAAATATGGGGCAAAGTTTTTTTGATATCCATCTGATGTAGATGGTGTGTTTTGTTTTGGAAATTTGCAATGATGAACTGTATTCTGTCTGTCTCTGTAACCATCCTATATACCAAAACTAGGTGACAAAACTTTAGGATATAATGGCACTTGATATGGAAACATGACAAACAGTAAAAATGGAAGTGTAAAAATGTGAACAATATAATTCTCAAGTTAATAATTAAGTCAGTGCATTTTCCTTGGATTTAGTTAGATAGCACAGTTCGGGTTATTTTGTTCATCCATTATATATTATGACAAGTGTAAATAGGAATTAAAAGTTAATTAAAAGAAAGTTTTGAAAAGAAATTCTGATAAAATGATGTAATTAGATGATCTAATATTATGCAGTATAAAACAGTTACTGACTAACAGTAACTTCATATCACATTTGTAGTAATAGAAATTTGTATTAATTCTTGCTCTTCTAAAATTAGCTAATATCAGTTTAGATCAGTAGAGTAAGGTAAATAGCCCATTCATAAACACATGATGGTTTATATATTCTTATCTGATCTGAACGTGTGGGGAAAGCACACACACACACACACACACACACACACACAGCTCAATTGTTGTTACAGAACAAAAAGATAATCGTTTATATGATTAATTCCATCACACAACAGCTTAAAAAAATAAGATGTAGCTCTAACACTGAGGCCATTCAGTGAAACAACAGGCAAATACAGCTCTACCAGACTAGAAATGATAACAGAAGCATTTCCAGCTTTATTAATAATTTAACAGCCAAACAGAGCTGAGGGCAGTCGCAGAGGGGAGCTCTGAACTCCTCTTAGCCGTCGCCTGGGGCTGCAGAAGAATATGCAAGGTGTTTGCAGTGAAGAAGAGCAGTTTTGTGTTTAAATCCTCACTGGTTTGTAAAAAGGAAAACATACATACACACACAGACACACACACACACGCACAGACACACATAGAGCAGCGTGTAATTTTGAATGAGCGAGGGGAAATTTACATTGAGTCCCCAGTGTAAAATCAAGTAGATGGGTACGCTGAGATGGGATACATGAGAGAGTATTATTGAATCAACCATGCGTTCTGAATAAGTAAACTTGAGATTGTAATTGAATCACTGGGATTATTGTGCTACCCTCGTGAACACTGGGTATGAAGCGATGCTTTCTTGCCAGAGCCCTTCCTAAACAGCTACTAATGAAAATAGAAAAGGACTGAAGAGGTGATAGTATTTGAAAACAGGTCATCGTCTAATAGCATTCAGAAAAGAAAATATTTCACTAATCCCTGGTTTGTATTGTGTAGCAATAGTGCCATCTTTTGGTAACATGTGAAGGAGATGATGAATCAGCCCTCCTAATTCTATTTCCTATTCCTCTATTATCCCATTTTAACATAAATGTGATCTTTTAAATGTGTCTGTTTTGCAGCCATCAACATAACTCGTGCCAGATTCAGCGGGAGTGATGAGTTTGGTTACACCTCCTTTGTGGCCTATTCCTCCATCCCGAGCCTCAGTCTGTTCTACGAGTTCAAACTGAAGTTCACACTCACCAGCAATTCATCCGCTGTGAAAGACAACCTGATCCTGTTCGCTGGGCATAAAGGACAAGGTGAGCTCAAGCCTGACACGCCGCACAGCAATTTAAAATAATTCTTTCGGTCAAATGAAAAGAGGAAAGCAACTTTGAGATGTCTCCTTAGTTGGATTTGAGTTGTCAAACTTCATTAAGGATTTTAAAGGAAATGCAATTGCTGTTTTGAGGGGTTTCACCCGCTGTGTATGTTAATGCGCTATCTAATAGATTTCCACTCTCTTCTGAGATCCTCTAATCAAGAGGATTCGCTGAGGATTTTCTTTCTTGGCAGATTTTGAGACATTAATAATGAGTCTTCCTGCAGTCCAGCAATTAATTGATTTCCAGCTAAACGGTTATTGTTCTTGACTCTCAAAAAGAAGCATGTTGGCTTTGATCGAATAAAATAAACATGTGAGCCAAGCATCTCAAAAGTATTAGCGTTAATTGCCTTAAACAGACTTTGAGGCGTAGGTGCTCTGTGATGCTGTCAGCAGCCATCTCGTTAAATTAGGATCTCCTTTCTGCGAGGGTCAGGTGTGGTGGCAGGTAACCACCGTGTGTCACTGTCTCCGGAATATTTCATCAAAAGAGGGAGAAGGGAGAAAAAAAAATCACAAGATCTTGTGGATCTCCCACACTTGTTTTCTCTTGAGAATACAGTTCATCATGGTGGAGGCAAAAACACAACAGGAGCAATATGAATAATGAAACACTTGTCAGTAGAGTGAGCAGCCGTGATGGAAACGGTACAAATTCAAAGGCACAACATAAGAACAGATGAAATACGAACACTTCACATAGTAATTGGTTTAATGAAGTGGCTTCTTTAAGCACCACCAGCAAGGAATGGAGCGGAGTTCATTCTTTGATGGCAGTCATCAAGTTGCATGAAACTAAACAAGTAGCGAGGCAAAATAAATAATAAAACACATGGTAATGTAAATTTCATCTTAAAGTCCACAAATGTATTATTTATTCTAAATGTTTGCTACAGATGTAATGTTTATATCTTTTTATTTGAATGTGTTTTCAGCGTTTTTAGCTGGAAGTGTTACGTATTCCATATTTTGAGTCTGCTTGTGCTAATAGCAAACTTTTCACATGTTTTGCAGGAAATGATGGCGATGACTTCCTCGTTTTGGGAATACGAAATGGCCGAGTTGTGCATAAATTCAACCTTGGATCAGGCGTAGCCACCATAGTCAGTGATCGACTGAACCACCAGATCAACATTCACACTGTTACATTTGGAAGGTCCAAGAAAACAGGATGGCTGAAGGTGACTGGATGATTAGTGAAGTGTCAGCTTTGGAAAAAAAACGAAAACGAAAAGACTAGGCGTGCCTACATGCTGTACACATATACTGATGAGAGATCCTTTAAAGCAGCGGTCCCCAAACTTTTTTCAGTGGGGGCCACATCAACTTTCCTTTCTGAGATGGGGGGCCGAGGTTAGTCTATAACAGGAAATGATATGGGCCAGGGTGACAACCAGTATTATTGTGGAGATTACAATGATAATTTGTTGTAGCTGCCCTTCGTTTGGCTTTGGCACCACCTGTTGATTTGCAAAAACAGTAATATAAAAGTTCTTCACGTGTTATTTGCACGTACACAGATACTCCATTTATTTTATAGAAATAACAAACAAACTGATGGTAATGCGCGGGGGGGTGCTGCTGGGCCACCGAGAGCAGGCTAGGCTCTGCTTTGCTTGGATCACAGCATATGCCTGTGCCGGGGGTAGTGGAGGGGGCGCCAGGCGGGCCCGCTGGGCGGCCTAGCGTCCGATTAGAAATGAATATAAGGTTCGGTGGGATGCAGACCCCACTGGAGTACAGATGCTTGCTGGGCGAGCAACTTGACGTGTGCCGGGGGGGGCGCGCTGGCGGCTACTTTGCTTCGGCTGGGCCGGCTATGAGCCATTGATCCGGGGACGGGGTGGCAGGGTCCGGGCGCCGGCGGCCGCCGGGCAGCTAGCTCTTGCTACTGGGCGCAATGCTGTGACGCGGGGGGGGGGCGCGCTGGGACGGCTTAAGACTTTACGACCTTTTGGCTGCGGGCGCTCAATTGCTTGGTTAAACGGGGGGGGGGGGGGGCTGGTCCGAGCGAGGCGCCGATTGGGCAGCTAGCTCTTTGGCTCTGGGCGCAATGGCCTGTGCACGGGGAGGGGGGGGGCCGCCGGCGGGCCGCCGGGCCGCCATGGGTCATCTCTCATATGCTGAGGTGCCACACCATTAAGACTAGTGTGAATGTCACAACGGAAAAGTTTGTCCAAAGTCCACAACTTGGCTCGTCACGCTGAGTAACATATGTCAGCCCCAGCCTTCTGAGTCGCTCCCTTCCGAAGGGCCGCCATGGGTGGTCTCTCATATGCTGCCGGGGGACACGGTTAAATTCTGTGTTTTAATAATTTCCAAAAAATTTTCTCGAAAGTCCACAAATTTGGTGTCTACGGACTCGGCTCGTCACGCTGAGTAACATATGTCAGCCCCAGGCTTCTAAGTCGCTCCCTTCGGAAGGGATGCCTCGTTAAACGTCTCCGAGGCCCGCTTGCTGCGACGAAAAATTTTCTCAAAAGTCCACAAATTGGGTGTCTACGGACTCGGCTCGTCACGCTGAGTAACATATGTCAGCCCCAGCCTTCTGAGTCGCTCCCTTCCCAAGGGCCGCCATGGGTCATCTCTCATATGCTGAGGTGCCACTAAAGGAAAGCAGCTAGTAAGGTGTAAATATTGAATGATTCCACCTCTAAAGATACTTCAAATGAAAAAATCTGAGAAGGAAAAATTCTTATAACTATGTCCACACTAAGGCCGTGATGAGGTGTCACTTTACATTAGAATAGATTTAACTTTAACAGTACCAGTGCAACTAAATACAGTTAACACAGTTTAGCATCTAACTAGTTGCAAAAGTGCATATAGAGATACTGTATATAAAGGATAAACTAGTGTACAGAATGAATAATATGGGAGGTCTAGAAAGATGGTATGTAGGCAGAATATGTTGGGATCCACTGTTACCGAACAATATTCCCTCATTTGATCTCATCAAACCGCTCTGACCCGCACTCTCCCAAACTCTTCCAGGTGTGGGTGGCGTAGGCTTCTAAATGGTGTTATAGTGAGGCGAATGTTTTTCTTGGAGCACCTCAGGTTCCAGATCATTTCTGTCCAATGATCAGGTAGAACAGGATGTTCACATAATGTAAGTGCAGTTTGAGAAATCTGCAGCAACAGTGAGATGCCAGCGAGTCAGCCGAAGGGCCGAGATCCCTGGGGAGCCGATGCTTCGAAGAATTTAGTCTGTTCAGAGGTAAAAGAATGGAACTATACAGTAGCAGCTACTGTGGATGATAAGTGGACGCAGGCTGAATAACTTGGTGATCAATGCAAGGTCATACATTTTGTCAGCCTTGCCAGTCAGTCTTTCAAATGAATTGTGCCCCCACACTGACGCTTACAGATGTAAGACTCCAGCTTTAGTATTGACATTTTGACTATGTCTTTCTTAGCTTGATGGACAACGTAACAGGACGGGATCGTCTCCAGGACCTCTGGTGGGCCTCAATGTTTTCAACCAGCTCTTTGTAGGTGGATATAATGAGTACACCCCAGAGCTACTCCCTCTTGGCTCCAGGTTCCGGCATGGCTTCCAGGGTAAGACTGCTACGGCTTCATTACAAACCCAACACTGCTGTCTGCAGTAAGAGCACTGGGGCTTGGAGTCTCTCTCAGGATCTCTGTCTCTTTGTAAGCAGAGAGGAAGGTGTGTAATGAAAAGGGAGTTACAGGCTCAGACCAGAGCACAGAGCTTGGTTAGAGCTAGCCTGATTGTATCTGCACCCTTTAATGACTTCACACACACACACACACACACAGTTGTGTGTTTGGTGCAAATCTATTCCACAGCTGATAGGTCACTTGAACAAGGGTGCCATACAAATAATCTTTGTCATCATCAGCATCATTTATGCTCTATCTCTCTCTCTCTCTCAGGTGTAGGAATGTATTCTGCAGGGCATTCATTGCGGCTGCTAATGTGCTGAGCTGTGGAGCAAAATTGCCATAACCGTAATAATGACAACAGCTATGAATATCATCATAACCATATTCAGCAGTCTCTGTACTATAGCAATGAAGCTTGTTATTACAAATGTCATGGCAGATCCATTTCAGGTGAACAAGAGGTTTTCATGTTTAAAGACGGGAGTGATTTTGTGTGTTTGCTTATTTATCTTTATATAATTCATTTTTCTGCTCACCAAATAAACCTTCAAAAATCAAATCAGCTCTGGAAAAGCGTCAGTTTGCCCAGGCTGTATCAGACCGTCATAGTCCCCTGTGTTGGTGAGCACTACCTGAGCCGGGGCGACACTGGTGGAACCATAACCTTTCTGCTCGGGATGTAATGAGAACTCATGAGCGTCTAATCAGATCTGTGTGACCTTCCTCGAGCCCTAATCATGATGGCTGGCAGTGAACACACTGATAATGCACTTCACTCCCAGTTATCAACAGATCCTCACTCCCCTGTGGAAAGGTGGCAGAGGAGGCACTGTGGCTGTTGGGAAAAAAAAAAAAAAAAAAATCAGTTACCCAGTTTGAGCTGTTGATCAAATAACAAGAAATGGGGAAGTTTGTGTTTACGTTTGTCCATTTAAATCTCTGTTTTCATGCTGCTTTGATGCGGTCATTTGCTAAAAGAGATCTTGAACCTGTTGAACCGCAGACATTTTTTTCTGGATTTTTAAATATTGCCATGAGAAATGAGCAGAAAATGTTATTCTGAAACAATTTGAAAGTTTTGTCAGAAAATGTTTTCTGCAAAAACAAATTGGCTCCACATTTTCTCTAAGGTATAATTGTCGTCGTCAGGTTTACTGGTTCGTTTACAAAAGGCGGAGTATGCAGCCAAAACAAAAATAACCAGCTTTTGTAATCTTCCTTATAAATCTGCTTCGCTTTTCGATGGTCTGTGTTTTAGCCCGCCGCAACCATCACTTGAGTCTGCCAAGTAGACAGCATCATGCCATGAATATTCATGAATGAGCATGACATTTCCCCTGCATCCTGTTTATGCCAATGACTAATGCAGCAGAGAGAAGGGAGTCTGCATGTGCAGATGAGTACAAGGCTTGTGCTCAGGCCTTGTATTTATAGAAGGCCCTGTGCTCTGCAGGTACAGGCCAAAGCAAATATTGTCTTGATAAAATTGAATTATGAAAGCAAAAAGCAAATATGATGAGGGGGATGCATGATGACAGGAAGGGGGGGGCACTTGGATTCAAAACGTCTGAAATCTTGGGTGTCAGGTGTAGAGACTTTATTCCATCAAATTCAAATTCAGCATTGAATAAAGATGTGCAGATTTAAGTATGTATCTTTGATATAAAAGCCTGTGTTGTCACATGATAAAACAAACAACCATCAAAGGGATTTGTTTCAAACTCTGCACACATTATGAGAGGTGTTTTCCTTCTTGCGGGCCTTATTTCAGTAGGAAACAGAACTCGGATCTTAATCACATCTTAGTGTCGACCCTTTTGTCGTCATACGAGCAAAACAAAGAATTCTTGTTTCCTCTGATAATCCTCTTTCAGATAAACGAAAGATATCTCTCTGACATTCAGTTTGGCTGCCGGTGTGTTTGTTCTTTTCGAAGGGTGCATTTTTGATGTGCAGTTTCGCACAAGAAGAGACAGAAAGTTCCAAGTACTGGGACAGCCTGCGGGACATCCAGCCTTCGGGCGCAGTGTGGGTCAATGTGGAGTCACGCCGTGCGTTCATATTCACTGCAGGAACGGGGGAACATGCGTGGACTCCGGCTCATCTGTGTAGTAAGTGGGGGGAAAAAGACAAAGAAACAACAACATTTTGGATTAATTTTCTGATTATTTATAATGATTCCACTCATGAATAACACATGATTGGCCTTATTGTTGAGTGGCATGCACCCAAAAACTCTCTCTCTGTGTTCTGTTGTGACTAGACTGCAATAACCAACAGAAAATCAGTTACACAGTGCAAGTATAGCGAAAGGAAATGTCAGTGTTTACAAGCTCTTCACAGCGTCTGACTGTGTCCGTCTGCAGTTGCCAGTGCCCATTTGGATGGAAGGGAGCACTCTGTTCTGAGACCGTGTCTGTGTGTGATGTCGAGCACAGTCCCCCTCCTCTGTGTGCCCACGGCTCCACCTGCATCCCTCTCCCAAGTGGATATACCTGCCAGTGCCCCCTTGGGACTGCAGGGCTCTACTGCGAGCAAGGTTGCATCACTGAGCCCTAACTGCACCGTCACATAAGTTATTTATTTATTTAATGAGACAAGACCGCCACTATTCAATTATTTAACTGCTGTATTGTTTTGCCTGTTCAGCTGTGACCATCAGTGATCCATTCTTCAGCGGGAACCTGTCTTCATGGATGTCATTCCCACCTATGAGCATTAGACACAGGACTGCTTTGCAGCTGCAGTTCCAGCCGTTGTCACCAGAGGGCATCCTGGTCTACACTGCACAGCATCTCAGTGCAAGAGCAGGTGAGGACATTCACTTCCATAGTTAGGGCCATTAATAGACAAAATACTGCGTTGACTGTGCAAGAGTGTAAGAACCTGGAACACTGTTTTTTCTCTCCCTGTCCTGCCACCATGACTCACATTATTCGATATAACCAATCATTCTTTCTTCCAACAGTATAACAAAAGAATACAGGATAAAAATTTTGCACTTAACTCTGCAAATACGCTCCATTGTGTAGATGATGTAATGCAATTTTGGAGCACCTTCCATAATTCTATAAATTCAAAGGAAAAAATGTATGAAACTAACAATTTCATGTTAAAATGCACCTGAAAAGAGGTTCTTTTGGCATATTGGTATCATTGTGTATTGATACCACAGGTATGTTAGATAGAAATTAATATGTTAACATATAATTGTTTTTAAAATTAGTAATGGAAGCTAAACTGGCATCACTGGCATAACTACTGTAGCTATGTAATGTGCAAAGTAAAACTGACTTTAGTAAATGTCAAACTGTTTAACTGTTTAATTAGCAGCATTTCACAGACAGAGCATTCCAAAAACGATGCCAACAATAATGCCGCCAGCGGCAACTATCGGGGTCCAAGCAGCTCGCAAGCATTTAAATACCATATATACAAATTGCTATTGAAATTTGGCTGAAGCAGGACTGAAGCCTCCGAGGGATGGGTTGGATTGGGACACACGTCTTACATCTAAGAAAACATGCAGTGAGGCCACTTTGTCAGTAAAGCTTCTCATGGAGAACTAAAAAAGAAAACGGGTTGCCAGTCGTGTTAAACTGTTTCAGCACTGAGGACAGCATGTGGCACCCCTGCGCATCGATTGGGGAACGTTAATAGACAGCAACAGGGAGGTGCACTGTCTCAGTACCATCCCTATTTACACAGGAACAGCATAAACAAAATAGACATGGCAGTCTACAACACTGTTCAAGGCTTATCCAAATGCATAGTACACACCCCAGGCAGTGACACCAACAGGTCCTGAGATGCAGTAAACAGGGAATTAAATAACAGATTTATCAAACATTCTGAATAATTTCTTGATATATACAAGAAAAGATAAGAATATGAAGCTATAAGTCACAGTTAAAGTGTTTAAACTGTAAACAGTATTTAAAGTTGTTTCTTCATTTCATTTACTGTGTACTTTGACATGACAGAACAACAGGAAAATTAAAAGTGCTCAAACTCAGTGGTATGACTTAAAAGTGTGTAGACTTTTGTGTAGCAGGGGAGACAGACGGGATGATATGCAGCAAAGATGATAATAAGATGATGATGATCTCATTAATTAATTAATCAATTAATTAATTACTATTATTTTATCATTTAATATATATATATATATATATATATTGTTATAGGTAATAATTTAATATTAATATCATTAATATATATATTGATATAATTTAATATTATTTATACATTCATTCAT